GTAGATATAACAAAGAAGTCAGGCTAGCTGGGTGCTTGCCACCGTTCTCAACTACGATCTTCTGAGCTGCTCTGTATATATCTCTTACCTCTGATACAGGCCAATGCTGTGTCCACATTAAGTACCGTAGCATCGGGAGTGCATACTGATTAGTTGCCTGTACAAGGTGACAGTCAAATAGAGGGCTGGACCATATAAGGGATATCCTGCGTAGATACTCTTTATAGCCGCACATGCCAGGGCCAGCCGTTCATCCTGTTGAACGTTCTCTAGCACCCCCAGGAATTTGTATTGTTTTCCTTCCCCAAGCGGGCAAGATGGTGGATGTCTCGTCCTTCCTTATACCAGATGTGTACCACTGAGCACTTTTTCTCATTCCAGTGGAGGTCGATATCCTGCATCGCTCCTTTAGTTTCCTTCAGCACTCGGTGCAGCTTGCTTTCGAAGGCAGCAAAAACCTTCAGGTCATCGATATACAGGAGATCGGTGACTTTAACGTCTATAGACTTGGATAACTGGTATCCCTCCGTTGCTCGCAGGCGCCACGCTACTGAGTTCAGACACAGCGTAAACAATCTAGCACACAAAACGTCCCCCTGGAGTAGTCCTTTCATGATCCTTATTTTTCTGGAAGTCTCTCGCCCTTGCGTTTTTGTAGCTACTACTCCAGTATTCTAGCTCTCGACCCCACCTTTGTACAGGTGCCAGCTCGTTTCCATTAGAAGTTGGTGATTTTATCAGGCCCAGGCGCGCTCCATTTGCGTTTCTTGTGCAGGGTCGGTACCTTGACTGCTTCCGCTACTTCGAGAGCCCATTCGTCGCCTGTCAGTGGTGTTACTTTCTCGTGGATCGCCATCTTTACTTCCTGCAACCAGACTGCGTTCTTATTCCCAGTCCCTCTCTCTTCCCACAGCTTTCTCCAAAACCCGCTCGGCTCTTCAATGTTTTCAAACATTCGCGGATCATCTCGAGCACGTTTTCCAGGATTTTTATATCTTGGTCGCTAACATCTCACTCAAATTTGCGAACAGTTTTCCAGGGATCGTATTAAACTGTTTCTTAATTACACGAGAAACCTCTTGCTTCTTTTTCCTATCAAACGCACGTTTTAACTTTAAGAGCTCTGACTTTTTTTCTCGATGTAGCTAACCAAACCTGCCACAGAGATGGTTTTGCATTCTTTTTGAAGCTGAGTCCCACTTTTCCTTCCTTTTTTCGTGATCTTCCTATTTTCTTTCAACCTTTCGATTTCCGCTTTCGCGATTGACAGTTGTTTTCTGATCTTCCCGCCTCCTGGTCTTAAATTCTTCTAAACTTTTCCTGTTGGTCCTGCGGTTTGTCTGCCTTTATTGGCCCTTATTTCTTCCATCCTTTCAATAACAAAAGCGAGCATACCACCGAGTAAAGAACACAGTTAGCTAACCACAGGAAAAAACGGGTTCTGCGTTGGTGTTACCTCGTAGCGTTCCATTAATAACTTAATCGCTGGTGGTTGATTTCTTCCAAGTCTTTTGTTGACGGTGTTTCTATTGTCCTGGCGTCAATGTCACGTTGGGAGTAGTCTCCGGGGTGGGTGCTAATAACTTCCATTATACTGTTTGCGAGCTCTAAAAATCTAGAGCTTTCTGGGTCACCATTGTCACGCTGTTGTATTTGGGTCAGGGTCGTATGCAAATTCCGTTCTTCTTATTACTTTTATTACTATTACTATTACTATTAGTGTTATTAGTAGTCTTTGGATAGTCATTTTACGACAATTATCTTTCGTACAGAAGAAGAATGTACATCGGGTATATATTTTAATATTTCATATTCTTGAATCTGTAAATAGTCTATTTTTTTTAAATCTATGAATAAAGTTTTGTATTATTTAAAAAAAAATAATAATTATTATTATTATTATTATTTGTTTTATTATTATTGGCGCTTCCAGTCCGTCTGGGTGGTCCGGGTATGGGGATCAGGTTCATCGACGGGGCTCACCGTGCTTCCTATCCAAGATTTGGGCTTTAACCTGAATAAAAGGGAGTTCTGCAACGTTGTAAAACTACGTTACGAGTGGCCAGTGGGTGATATCACCTCCTTCTGTGTTTGCGGGGAGGTTCTTACCGTAGACCACTCGATGATTTGCAAACTTTGAGCTTTTATAATTTGTTAGTCTTATTACTCAACGTCACAACGAGCTAAGAGATCTGGAACCCGAACTTCTGAGTACGGTATGTAGTGATGTTGAAACCGCGCCAGTCATTTAACACATCACTGTAGAACAGCTAAGTAGAGGATCTAATATAAGCACAAGATGTGAGATTGATTATCCATGCACGTGGGTTCTGGGAGCTCTAACGATAGGCATTCTTTGATGTCAGGGTCTGTCACCCACATGCCGAATCGTACACGACCTCGAACCGCAACAGATCTATTGTATACATGAGAACGGGAAAAAACGTCTGTATTGATATTCAAGAAGACTTCTCGACATTGAACATGGAACATTTACGCCCTGGGTGTTTACAACAGCTGGTGGTATGGGGAGAGAATGCCTCAGGTATCACGGTCGACTAGCGGAGCTGATTTCCATTTAGAAAGGCGAACAATCTCTTTAAAACTATGTCATGGAACAGAAGCAAAATCTCGTTTACATTATTAAGATCAGCACTCATTTGTCTTAGAGGATCTAGGGCAAAAAAGGGAGCTCAGTATCATGATATTAAGAACGCTGACATTGAGATCCAAAATGTAGAAGGCGCCATTTAGGAGTACGAGGTTTTATTCTTTTCAACTGGCTTCTTTTAATATCAGAAACGGATAATTTTCTTTGGTCATGAATTAAATTAAAACACTGGACTGTGTGCAAGTGATATTGTGCTACCAACAATGATCACATCTGAGCAGCAAGGAATGTATTTGGGACATCGTTATTGACACTGAATGTTACTGATTTATACTGATTCATAATGTTGTATAGTACTTAATTCTTAGTTCAAATATTTCTGTAAATTATGTACATATTTTCAAAGTTGACTAAAGTTTTATTATCATTAAAAAATATTACTATTATTATTACTATTACTATTAATATTTTTCCCAAGGCTCAATTATTCTGAGCGGCCAATACGTTTCGGGTCACGTAATCAGAGCGAAAAAGTGAGTGAGCGTTTCCTGCCCGTTCCCCATGACGTCATCAAAGTGAATTGACCGAGAAGGCCTGGGAAAACGCTGTACAAGGACTAGGCAACCTTCGCCATAAAAAAACTGGCGCCTGCTACGAAGGATACGTCAGGAAAGTCAAAAGAGTTGCGAAAATTACATCTAAAAGGATCTTCATCTGGTGACGTTGTTGCTTCCTATATTCAACTTCTACTGACCATGGATACTAGAAAACGGTCAGTTAAAGTTCAACCTTTTTATAAAAAAATGTTTAATCTTAAGTGTTACCGGATCGCTACAAGTCCCGGCTGTCTCACGTCCACGTAGTGCAGCCACAAGGGCCCGCACAATCTGTTCTTCTTAACCAGGCTCAAGTTTTCTTTCAGATGAATTTTTTTTCAACGCTTTTGACTTCCCTTAATTACGTCATAGTGGTCGTTATTATACAAAGATGACGAAGAAAGTAATAAGTAAACACATTTTTTGTGTTCAGCTATTATTCAATATATATTTTTGAGAGTCTTGAAAGTATTTCATCCCGCCTCAGACGACTTAAATGGAACTGCAAATTAACCACAGACATTGAGGTGAAAAGCTCATCGTGCCATAGCAATATTAGTTTCGTGGTATGAAATCCTCTTAGCAGCTAATTGTTGCACTTCACATTTGATTAAATTTTTGTCGCTCAGGAAGTGCCTTGATAAGATACAATCACGTTCGCGAGTGGAATTGACCAACTCAGAACAGGCGTCATCGTTTAATTTCTTTTACCGCGGTGGTCTGGAATTGATGAGTGGTGCCGGAATGAGGAGTGTGGAAAACGTGAAGTGGAGAAAATGAGGAATTTGTATTTCTGTGGAAAATTTTAAATAGGGGGCAAAACTCAGTTAAACTTTTTTTTTACCATGGAACCAATCGCGAGGAAAATTGTGTATGAAATTGCCTTGAAATGGCGAATTTCTCGAGAGTAAAAGACAAGCCTTCACATTGCCACGAGACGCATATTAACCCCGGTGGGTACATTAGATTTTTTTGGTTGGGGTGTGCCGCAGGGACCCTCTTAGCCTATAACAAATCAAGCTCAGGTGAATTTTGCGACCTTATAGTAGACTAAGCTCCCCAAACCCCTCCTTATCCAGAGTCGCTACTTTCCAGAAACTACAGCGTCGACACTTTCTTTGCCGTTAAACTGAGTTGCGAGGAAATTTAAACTATCTAGTTTTATATTTTTGAGAGTAGTATATTTCCGTTTTCCCTAGTCTAGAATAAATTTTCAACCAGTTGTTCAGTTTACTCCTCTCCCCCGGGCTATAAAGACAATGCCGCTGAAGCTTTCGTAACGAAAAAACTGCGGCGCGGAGATTTAAAGTTTAAAATCGGCACATTGTATGAGACATATGCATCATGAAAATACCGACGAACTCCTTGAACCACTTATACTGCCAGTAAAATCGACTTTTTTTAAAAGCTACCTGCAGATTAAGCAACAATATTTAGATGGCGCTGTTTAGCCACACTGAAATTCTTTCGCAAAGACATTAAAACAGCGGTTTAATGGTCATAAGTTATAAGTAGGATCGGGCTGGAATTTTACGGTTGATGAGATGTTCAGGAACTTGATCATGAACTGCAATTCAAAAGTACTGGACTTGCTTATCTGATGAATATTATAATGTACGGAATTTCGTGTATAGAATTAGTGTACCCGCCGGAAATGGTGCCAATCCCAGCAATGTCACTCCAGGTTCAACTTGCATAAAGGCTATCGTTCTCTCTGATTTTTTGCCATAACGACAAATTCGCACTGGAGTGAGAATCGGAGCGCAGAATTTTTGGATTATTTTGGCTCCAAGATGCTTCGTTACATGCTATTTTTGTTTATCGCTACATCGCCGATTGTCATTCTTCCTCGCAAACTAACCGGCGTACAAGGAGTAAGTCCATCTTTTATTAACTCTAAATGGATGGGGTGGACGAAATGTGCCTCAAGTGGTTTTTGATTCATCTCCCTCCATTTTGCCTTGTAGCATATATGGGAGCGAATCGAAGGGAGAATTGAACATTAGATCAGGATTCGCATAGTGTTTAATTCCTAACCTCCCTTTGCTTTTCTTTACAATTCTTACTCCCGCGTCGTAAGAGATCTGAAAAGTCAGTAACAAGTAACGGATTTATTTTACTTTACAGAGTTCACTGCCAAACTACCATGAAGAAAAGAAAATGTACCAGAGCTACTGGAAAGACACAAAAATCAAGGAAGTTGATGAAGATGCTAAAATATCAGCAAAAGGTATTACTGAAAAATGTACATAAGCTATAGCATCGCGATCATTCATACTCACTTACTTTTTCAAATGTAGTCAAATAATTCCAGGGGCGTAGCCGGCTTTTCGACTAGTTGCACGCTTGGCTGACTTTGATTTCCTCATATCCTGAAAACTGCATGCATGACTAGTACGCACTGACCTCACCAACACTTTGAGCTCTTAGCTTTTTAGCTCACCCCAACAACGCATGATTTATTAAAAGCGGTAGAGTGATCAAACCAAAAATTTGTAGGCCCGGGCCAAGAGGTCTTTATAATGGGCTGCCGACGCCCCTGACGTTTGGAGTTTGAATTCCTGAGAACCATATCCAGATTTAGAAAGAGAAGGAAAATTTCGTTGTCGCTTGTTGGGTGATCCATAAAACGTAAAATTAGGCGGGTTCGCGTGGTAGTGGTGCAATGACGGCAAAAAAAATTGAACAAACCGTGTTATGCACGTGCAGAGTTGTTGTTTTGCTAATTAAGCCTATTGTTTTTTTGACGTTCGCTTTGTAGTCACCTAGGTCCGATCTTTAGGTCCATGTTATGATTTCGAATGAGTATGATGGAACTAAGAATGGATTATTATACGTTTCTGGGAAACTGTCCACCTACCCCTCCCCCATAAGCTAACATTTCTGACAACCAGTTACGCACTCAGACGGGTTAGTGGACCCGCCTATAGTTTCCAACAATAGCCTCCCACTCAGAAAACTTAACCGCGTTCAATCCGCAATGCATGTGGTTGACCGAAGGAGCGATATCTGACCAGAAGTGGACGTATTGCATTATTGGGAAGCGATTTTGCCCAAATGTTTGGGCAAATCATCTCTATACACGTAAACGCACTCAGCACTGAGACACATTTGGTGGCTTCATGGTATATTAAAAGACTGCGCCTCAATCCCGGTTGACGTGCGCCGTCTATTAACGCCGGTTTAATTTCAGAAGCCAACAATGTTCTGTTCTATTTTAGAGTGTTACCATTACACGTTCCTTAACGAGTCAAGCAGAGCAAACTCCTTTTACAACATCAGCATTGACTTCCTTTGTGATGATGATCTTAACGGATGGTATCGCTTTGGGGGAGATGCTGGAAAGCAAATGGCGGATTCATGTGTTCCCGAGTTTCGATGTGGCGCAGAACTGCCGGGTTGGCTGAATGGCAGTCATCCTGAAATAGCTGAGGGTGCTGTCCGACGCAAAGTTTGTTTCCGTTACAAAAACAATTGTTGTGAATACTCAACAAGCATCACAGTCCGTAACTGTGGAGGATTCTACGTCTACCACCTTGGGAAGCCCCCAATTTGTAACTTCCGTTACTGCGGCAACGGAACACACAAACCAAGTGAGAATTTAAATTTCCCGTATAACCTGCGTTGTCTGTTATTCTCAACCTCCTCTTCCCTCAGCCACCAACCCCTTCCCCCTTCGCAATTTGTGACACTGGAACCTCGGATCCTGGAAGATTTGTTCCTCGAACCTTCCTCGTCTCTTTTTACGCCTCAAACACGATAATATATTTTCGCTTCTTCGTATATCAAATTAACACGGGACACGATGTTTCATCGTACATTACCGAGGAAAACATTAAAAATATACGAAGGGTAGCCGAGTGTGACAGGTTCTTTTCCCCGACTATTCAAATACAACGAACTCGAAAACCGTTCCAGATACAAGACTCTGACTACCACTGATGCCTCTTACTATCATTACAAACAACCAGATGGTGACTGCCATTACGCTCAAACTACTCACTCTTAGTCTCGCAGTTGTGGGCCAAACGCCCCCCACGCCGTAGCCATAAAGTTTCAAGTTTTCGTGTGCGACACATGAATATGGTGCTTGAGGACCTGCACTTTGCCGTGTCGGTCCTGTTGTCGTAGCTAAGGACTTTAATTTTGTTGCTTTCATTACTTTTCGGCACTTTTCTTCGACTTCCTTTCTTATTTTAAGCACCTTGCCTTTACTTTAAGGGTTTAGAATATTATGAAATTGCTTTTCTATCTTATAAGGATTCTCCTATCAGATTGGAAAAGTAGACGTTTCGAAGACAAGGCGGGAATGGAGTCGCAACAGCAGCAAATGTGAAGCGCGGACTCACTGTACATTGCCACGTTGCACAGATGTGACTTTTCATCGGGAATTCGTTGGATCACGGACTGTAAGTATTTATGACTGCATACCAAGATGTGTTTCCGCACTTTTAAAATGGACTAAGCTATGAGCTTAAACTTTACGTCATCGTTAAATTCATGAACAATGTTTTCCCGGGGAATTTTAAATGAGTCAAGGAACTAAAGTGTATTCCAACCCTTCATCAACTAAGAGTCAAGAATCGAAAAAAATAATGATAATAATTCGCCATCTTTTGGGTAATGTTACCAGACAGTCTCGTGTTGGAGTTAATCTCAGAATATAGATTTCTCAGTTGAAATGACTTCACGTTAGACCATAGAAGAACTCGGTGTTTTCTTGGAAATAATATTGTAAAGGAGACAAAAAAAACGTTACAACGGTCGATCAAAACGACTAAAACAAGGAGAACAGCTGAAAGGGAACAAGTTAGTACTTCGATGGACTGACAGTGGCATATCAACGGCACTGGCGCGCTTTATCTGTTTTTACTTATACGTATTTCTAACCGATGCATTTCAGGTCAACGTTTTTGTGTCACTGAGTCATGAAGAAAACTCATCGATGGCTCACACGCCCTCGGCTCTGTGGGCAGAATCCATCAATACAGTTGGATTTAAACTATGTTCGCGCACGGCGGGTAATAAAAACGACACGGGAACTATCAACTGGTTAGCGTTCGAAGACCAGCCAAGCACAGACATAACGCATGGAAGCGTTGCTCTTGGTGGAATATGGACAACAGAAACCAAGTGTGAAAAAGTGTCCTTTTCTCAGGTTAGATCATGAAATTAGTCAACAATCTGTCGAAAATAAAGTACAAAAATGCTGCTTGTAAGAACAACACTTTTTAGCAGGAATGACATTGTGCTTTCTGTGATTTCTCAAGGTTTTTTGGTATGTAACACATTAACGTCAATCAGTGGCGGACGGAGGATTTTGTGATAGAGGGGACCTAGAGACAGTAACTGTATACAGTGGTAATATGAGCGTGATAGCGCCCATCAGGACTGCGAACCGGCGGCGCACTTTTCTAGGGAGTTTCGGGCGCATGGTCCTCCGCGAAAATTTTGAGATTGAAGTTCTCTGAGATGTAGTCTAGTGCATTCTGGACGCTTAAATTTTATGATGCTAGCGGGAGCCGACGCGATTGCGGCGGGAGCACAACCTCCCAGAAAAGGCAGCAACATTGTCTCTCTGAAAAATTGTCAAATCCAGTTTGTTTGAGAAGGATATTTACTGCATGCATTTTGGGAGCTTTGGTCATTTGCGACCAAAAATGTAGGCTTCGAACACAGATTCAAAAAAGATTTATAATGAAAAAAATTCAACAAAGGAAATGCATCCCAAGGACATGACTCAAAGACCAATCATAAGTAAATTTATTGCATGGGATTGATAAATGTCATCCTTCTCTTGTTGCGCTTGGCATAGTCGTCAATAATTGCATCATAATCCAGAGCAACGTCCTTGTGAATAAAGAGCAGCGACAGTGCGTTAAGGCGGTCTTCCCTCATGGTGCCTCTAAAACAACTCTTTACAAAGCGCAGTGATGAGTTGCTACGTTCCACAGTTGCACTTGTGACAAGGCCGATCATTAGGAGCCGCAAAATTGTGTGGATTTTGGAGTATATAAGCCTTTGTTGCAGGCTGCCAATTCTTCTTGTAAAATGGAGGGTTTTTCGGTTCTATTGATCCTGAAAAAACGTTTCATAACCATGTACATGAGTACATATAAACTTAGTGAAACTGTGCTGTATTCTTAGTAAATTTGAAATAAAATTACCATACCAAAAGCGCTTCCACAGCTCTAGCTCTTGAGACGCACTGCTTGGCAATAGAAGGGCGAATAACTTCAGGGGCACCCAACGAGAATATAGTTCAAAACCACTTAAACATAGCATTGTTAAACGTATTTTAGTATTTGAACGGTAGATATAGGTATATTTTTATCCCGTAAAATTTTTTTATCTGTTCGGATTTCTTAGCTGAAAGTCTGGTGATCCGAAAATTATAGGGATCAAAACTTACCTCTTCGAAAATTTCAGCCAGAAAAAAAGCTCCCGAAAATTCTAGGTGACCTTTTTAGGGTAAAAATCCGTTTAAAATGGGCAATTATATTAGTTTTTAGATGTTCGAAAATCCTTGGAGAGGCCAGCAAGCAACAAATTTTACAACAAATGTTCCGAAAATTGTAGATCTCAATTCGTCTTCCGAACAGATATTTTCCGAAAATTGTCGTTGGGTGCCCCTGTAACTTTCTCTTGAGAAGACTTTTAAAGCTTCTGCAAGTTGGCAGGTATCAGTAGCATCTTTCAGTTTGTCGGTTTGAAGCTAGTTTATAAGGGCGGATGATTCGAACAACATTCGATACATTTTCTTCAGTATTAACAATGTTTATTTAAGAAAATATAGTTAAGTAACAAAGCTCGACGTACCATCCGACACACGTTTACAAAAGAAAAAAAATTCCCGCACAAAAGGGGGGCAGGGCCTCCTAGGTCCACCCCTTAATCCGCCCTTGTTAACTATGTCAAAACCAAGGCCTCTGTCCCGGATTAACAGATGGATCAAATTTCAGTCAATCTATGTCCATTTCATTGTCCATAGGCTCATTTGACTTCGTATTTTGTCTTCCAGAGCTTTGCTTCTAAACCGTACGTGTTTGTTTTCGCAAAATACGGCCGCAGTACAAAGCCAACTGATGCTGTTTATGTATGGTTGGAGAATGTAAATTCTGAAGGTTTCGAAGTTTGCATCAGGGAATTCTTGCCTTTTGATGGAAAACACGGAGATACAATTGTGGTACGTGGGAAATAACGATAAAGTATACACGTAACATAGATATATGTTTTTTTTTTTCGGGAATCCATCGTCATTTCACCAGCTGTGATCTAGGAATAGTTAGTGTCTGGCGTCCCACAAGGTTCCATATTAGGTCCTTTTTTATTTAATTTGTACTTAGCAGATCTCCAGGACCACATACTATGCCAGTGTTTAACAGGTTATCTTTTTTAGGTTAATGCGTTTTTAGAATTTCTGCAAAAACCGGAAAGGGAAAAGTAACAACCTCTCTTGATATGAGGCATGAGCTAACTAGTACTTCGAAGGATATCAACTAAAACAGTAAAATGATGATGAATTCTCCAACTTAATTTAGATCATTATACGTTTCTGGGAAACTGCCCACCTACCCCTCCCCTAAGCCAACGTTAGCTCTTACTTCTCACTTAGGGCAAATCCATGAAATGATCCCTTGGATCATTATACGTTTCTGGGAAACTGCCCAGCTACCCCTCCCCTAAGCCAACATTAACACTTACTTCTTACTTGGGGCAAATCCATCAAATGATCCCTTGGATCATTATACGTTTCTGGGAAACTGCCCACCTTCCCCTCCCTTAAGCCAACATTAGCACTTACTTCTCACTTGGGGCAAATCCATCAAATGATCCCTTGGATCATTATACGTTTCTGGGAAACTGCCTACCTACCCCTCCCCTAAGCCAACATTAGCACTTAGTTCTCACTTAGGGCGAATCCATCAAATGATCCCTTGGATCATTGTACGTTTCTGGTTTTCTTTCACCGACAGGACTGGTTCGCATTCCTCAGGATTGACAACGTGACTGCCGGAGAAAAGTTCTTTCCAAATGACGGATACCCGTCAGCTGAGGACAACTATGGCTTCTGCCAGGTGAGTGGTAGCTGTCAATCAGCTGTCAAGGTAACAAAGGCCAAACTACTTGAGTGTTTTGTTTGTGCTTTACTACGTTAATCGATGAGAACCACGATCCTTTAGTCCCTGCCACCGGTCGAAACTATCTCTGGTTACGTTCGTCTGCGAAACAGCGCGGAAATCCTTGGTCTGGTCCCTCACATGTTTAAGAGGATTTGAGTACGCGCCATAATTGGTCTGTTTAAAATGCCATTGTCGATTTGGCAGTCAGGTTGATGGGACATACAAAACGTATTTCAGAACAAGGATATCCCAGGAAGGAAAGGAAACCCCGGAAAGGAATCCGCAGAACAAGGATATCGGAACGCTTCACAGACGTTACTAACACTGAGGTTAAATTACGTTTGCTACGCAGGCTAAGATTCTAAATCGTGTTGAATTCCTTCTTTCTTACAGGACGTTTCTTTCAATAAAACATTCCAAGAGTCCCCAGTTGTCCTTGTTTCTGTCAATCACCGATACGATCGCCAGGCGAAGGGCCGGTTTCTCCCGGAAAATAACATAATCTCGACCTGGGTGGAGGTAGGTTTCTGTTTCGTTCTCTATACTCACGTCATTAGACATTTCCAAATAGAAAAACTTTTAAATTTTAAACCACGGTTACACTTTGGTGTGTTCATTTCCTGCCGTTCTCTTTTTCTTTATTCTTAACCTGTCGCCAGGTTTTTATTATCATTATATTTTTTTATTACAGCAACTGTAAAAAAAAAACATAACACATAATAACGGAAAGGAAACGTTTCTTTTCGTTTCTTACTGCTGTTCTCGCTATTAGCATGAAAACGATTCTCACCAGCATAATCTGCTAAAATGAAAACGCACTTCTTTTGTATTATAATAACTTGCTTGTACTTGTCTCTCTTTGCAGAACCTTGGCTTACAATCTATGAGGATATGTGTTAAAGACCTCAGTGGATCTGGTCCTATGCATGACCCACTTACTGTAGCCTATGCTGTTGTTGGAGGTACGTTTTTGACTTAGGCCCTTTAAGAAAGCTCCAAGCTCGTTGGTTGAATTGAAATTCCTTTAAACTGAACTCTACTAAAATATCCACCCTTTTTTTTCAACATAGACATAGATCCTTGTCTTAACGTGCAATACCCTCGATTTGGAGTCTGCAAAGCATATAATGCTTATAGCGGTCGCTGTGAATGTAATGATCAATGTCCATCGTATCAAGATCCAGTGTGCAGTGCGAGCGGTACGACATACGACAACCAATGCTGGCAGAAGCTCGGCTACTGCAAAAGACTTGAGAGCGACCCCCGTATCTACCATCCGGGAAACTGTGAAGGTAAGCAAGACTGTAAACTCCCGCTTCTAAGCCGTTATAGGTCCCCCTGGATATAAGCGCGCCCCCCCGATTTTTTATTAACGTTTTAAATCTGAAATAAAGTTTAACTTGAATTTGTGAATGTGGTAGATTTTGAACAGTTGCTTCCCATTATATAAAGCAGGCAGAATTATGGTAAAAATGCGATAATTAGTCTCCAGGAATACCTTAATAACCAGTAAATGTAAAACTTACTTTGATCAGTTACTGCTTAAGATGTTCCGAAGAATCTCCGAAGTGCTGTTTCTACTCTAGTTATAAACCCTGGCGGGTATAGGCCCCTCCGTTTGTTTATAACAGAGTCCTCCTAAAACCCGATATGAAGATGTATAAACCCAGGGCTTGCGACAGTTCCCGCTATGCTGCAATAAAATAACTTGGAGTAGCACCAAGCTGATGTTTGGTGAAACATGAACTAAGCGAGAAGGACTGACATCCCTCGTGGCTTTGCAGATGTAGCGAAATTTTCAAACACCAAATCTGAATTGGCTCTGCTCAACAAAGTTACGTTATTACGCATCTTCGTTGTTGTAAGCACTGTTTCTTTATGTGAAAGTGCTGAATACAATAAGAGCTCTAGCAAAGAGAAAACATTCCATGGGTGACACACTGTAAACATATCTTCCTTCTGTCAATAACTAAATGGAGAAGTAATCATCAATAGGATACCTAAAATGCGATTAATTCCATAATCAGTTTTTGCTCTATTAAATCCTTAATTGCAAAACACTTTGGGAGTGGCCATCCACAAAGTGAGCGGAACATGTACTGATCACAGGGCATTTTTGTAATGGTTATTAAACACATGATAAAATGCAATTCGTATATTCACGACGTAACATTACAAACTCCACGAAAGTTGGTGAAAACGTCAACTGAACAACTGAACAAGCAACGCAAGCGCACTAGAAAATATTCCAAAAAGAAAACAGCATAAGCAACTTTGGGTGCGCACCGGTATCCAGCTGAACGGAACGCAGCGCATATGAATAAGAGACATTGAAATCATGAGATTATTTACATGAATCAAGTATTATTATAAGTTGATAATTTTTTTGTTGAACAGTTTTTCCCATTGTGCGGGGCCGAGAAGACCTTCTCCGTGTTCCAAAATGGCTCGATTCAAGTTGTCAGACCGTCACATTTCCACCATACCGGTTCTACCCGGATAAACAGGTTCATGTCCAAATAACTGTCAATCACATCAAATTGAATGACTCTGTTAAAGTCCACGACGCGGTGACTGCATGGACAGAAAACATCAGCGCAAAAAACTTTACAGTTTGTGCCTTGCAAGCAGGAAGGAAAAAAGAGAAATTTACCCCTTTCGCCAGCATTGATTGGGCTGCCTATCAAGGAGGGCCTCCTGAGGCACTTACGGGAACGGTTAATTTGCCCAAATGGTGGAGTGGTACAAACTGCGAGAAAGTGACGTTTCCCAAGGTATGATGGGAACATTTAAATGTTTCACGAACCGTTTTTTTTTGTATGCAGAAGTGCCGAATAATAATCATGACGATGAAGGGAATTTTGCATAAGCTTAACTGGTGTCTGCTACATGAAACACAAATACTAAACAAACGGAAAATCATCGTAAAATGATGCGCAAAGTTAACGTAATTGATAGTTTATATCGGCATATTACCTAAAACCTAGTGCCGGACCGCAACATGTGCAATACCGTATGGAGTTTTTGTTCTTTCTTTACATCCTCGCTCGCTTTTCTTTTCAATAATCCTAAACCATCTATATCACTCTTTCAACATTCTTAAAAACTTGTAAGGTCCCGTCGAGTGAAGACCACGATGGATTGATTTATCTTACAGCCTTTCGTCCACACTAAACATGATGAATTGTCCACCCAAAATAACACTTTTCGGAAACGATTGTTATAGATCTCTGAAAATCTCACTGTATTCATTTTTGCCAAAAAAGACACGTTTTGAAATCTAGTAGGACTAGTGTGGACTCGTGTGGAAGGAAAACATTTTATATTGCGTTTTCCAATTTCTCCATTTTTCCAGTTTTTGCTGATTAAAGTGGCCGGTGCGCGTAAAATACCCTCCTTAACTCAATTTTTTTCAAATTGTTTTTTAGTTGTTGTTATTTTCAGAACATTCCAGTTTTGACAAACTTACTCGCTTTTTCATCAGGGAAATTTTACTGAGGCCCCAGTAGTCCTTGTGACTTCAGAGCATCTGAAAACAGGTCAAGAGTATGATGCCGCTCTCATCTGGACCGAAAACGTAACAAATAGCTCATTTCAAGTTTGTCTTCGGGAACTGCAAAACTTCGATGGTAAACACGAGGATATTAGTGTGGTATGTGTCAGAAGTAAAACTAGAGGCATATTTATTGCTCTTAAACGGAAAGAGAGAACTGGGGAATTATTTCTTTCATGAAAAGTTGTCGCTAAGCAAAATTCCTTGGGCAACACGAGTGAATAGCTGGCATAATAGCCCAAGTCGTCTCAAACAGACGATCGACACAGTTCTATAGAAACACTTCTGATGCGTTGCGAAACTATCCAAACGATTGAGGCGGTCGGAATTGCCTGGATACGACTGAAGTTTTAAATATTCGTTCAGAACGTCGGGATCCGGTCCAAGTCGTCGAAGTACATTGATTGAGGCTATGAAGACGATCTGGACGAGTGTATGGAAACCAAGCCTTTGATTTGTCGTACAAACTATCGCATTTACCGATTTGTGCCTATTCGATTCAATTCATTTCCTCACAACTTATTTGCTAATCTTAAAAACTTACATGCCCTTTTTATTGTTTATAGGTATATACGTTCATTTTATTTGGTTAATATTAATGTTTGATTATGGTGGCCAAGTTAACCATTCAGTTTTCTGGTTGGCCCCCATATTGCAAAATACGTTTCTTTTAAAAACAGGCCAAAAACAGAACCAAACGAGACGCTGTGGGACCGTATATTTGCGCGTCCATTTACTAGGCGTGTGTGAAGTTTTTTATGTCTATTAGGATGTGTTAGCAGTGCAGTAGCGTTGTATGTTTTAGGGGTTGGTTGAGATGTTTGGAGTGGAAGGCGTGGATTAGTAAGATAATGGCTGTAGTTTGTTAATCAGTGAAACTGGTTTCTAGTAGAATTTGATATGAAGTAACAAAAAATATTTTTTGGGAAGGTAAAAGTGATTTGAGGTGTTGCAGTGAGGTAGTTGTGGGTGTGCTAATTTGGTTACAAAGGGATAGTGCAGTTACAGTCTGTTGAAAAGAAGTGGTGGTTTTGAGAGATCTTATCAATAGTCTAAAACATACTTGTACTTATTTTAAACGTTATTAGGCTTTCTGTTTAGGATTTTTCGCGGTTATTTTTTATAATATTTGTATGGAGAGAAGGTGGATAAGGAAACTTCATTTAATATGGAGAAGGGGGTATGAAAATGTTGGGGGGGGGCTGAAATTTTGTATGTGTGTCTTTTTTTGTGCGACGACAATTGTTTTCCATGGGGAAAATTTAAATAACTTAATGATTTGTTTGACTCAGTGTACCTTGTTTTTTCAATCGTTTGACTTCTATTGCCGAATTGCTTTCCGTGCCTTATCTGTGCGATGTATGTAATGAGGATAAATGCTGTGTCATGACAAATCGCGCGGCAGACTAGTCGCGTCGCTTGGCTTGTTTACGTTCGCACGTATTGCGTGCCTATTGCAACTTTGAATCAAAACAATCGATCTCGATTACTCTATTTGGGCAACGCCCAAATAATAACAATTACAGTAAAATAGATGTAAAAAGTGGTTGACATATTTTCCATTTTAAAGTGGAGGGGAACAAGATCCTTCTTCAGAAGGTTCTAATAACTTGCTCAGTTGTAGCCATAATTATATTAAGCCACATCAAACGTGACCGTCCGCCATAACGACGTACACCCGGAGTCTATAGAAAAATTGCTGTATTGAAAGCAATTATTATAACAGGTCTGAATGACGATGATGATATATTTAAGGAGTCAGTGTAGTTAACAACTACTAATTTCAATGAATTCTTGTTTTCAGAACTGGTTTGCGTTTTCTAGATCGCTGAAAAAGCCACTGTCTTTTGAGCACGGCAGCATAGGTTTTATAGGCACCAACAACACTAACCCACCACCGATGGATGAAAATAATAATGCATACTGCAAGGTAAGAATAGACAAAAAGTTAATATGTATCACTTTTATTACACGATTGGTCGTCAAACGTTACTCCCAGTTTTGTGGAACTTTAGCGAAGGAATGGTGAAACGTTTTAGCTAAATGTTTTCGGACATTTCTTGTTTTTCAGTTCGTGTTATTCACAAGAGGTTACAGCTCGACTCCAACAGTGCTCATCGCTGCCAATCACAGCACAAAAGTATCCGGGAACTCAGCCCCAATTCACAACGGTATTTCCACTTGGATTGAGGTAAAAATCGCTCTAGTGTGACACTACACTGTATTTCAGGTCAGTTGTAAGTGTAGCGAAGCTTTCCACAGGTCATTAAAGAAAATTTCCATTAGCGCTGTGAAAAGATGCCTTGACAATCAAAGAAATTGGATGTTAAAGGAATGATTAATTAAAACGAAATTTATGTAGATAGGGACAAGACAAAAACTGAACTAGGTAAAATTTATATTACACAAAGTAGTACGTGCTTTTGGTGAATATGACATCGGGGCATGAGCGCATTGCGCTTTAAAACTCTGTGCATGTGGTTTGATAATAAGTTATAGCGGGCGACAAAAGGAGCCCGCTATCCTAATCTCCAGTTTGTTATTACGCATGCGTCGTATGTATGTAGCCAGCATTCGTTTGGACTTCCACTAAGAATGTTGGGAATTCACATAACGCAATTTGATCCCGCGTGTTTGAACCTTCTATGACTCGTAATCTGATCACGCGTGTTTTGACTTTAGGCAAAACACAGCGCTGGAGCAAAATAGTTTTGACCTTCGATCGTTGTCGCCCGCACTCCGTAACCTTTGGTTATTACTGGTATTAAATACCTTAAGACATGTTAAGGTATTCAAGGAGAGGGAGGAGAGGGAACCCTTTCCCTTCCCTCTACTCGCGATTTTTTCACCCTTTTCCCAAACAGAGAGCCTGTTCACAGGCTACTAGTGCCGGGACAACAGGTTTGTATTGCGAATATTATATTATTGTATATATCAAAGGCAGTCAATAGTTACTGTGTAACCTAGCTAGCTAGCTTTTTTTTTTCTCCTTCCTCAAATGGTCCCTATGGCTTCCACGCTCGGACACAGACTCCTTAAGAATTAATTGCCTCCTTATTTCTTATCTTATCTCCAAGCAAGCGAGACTTAAACGCTTTTTAGATCTTTCTTGTTGTATTAGGTTTACTCATTAATATTATTTGGTTTAGTTTATTCTATTTTTTGATTATCAGCTAGCGAATAGATTTTCCCCCTGATCATTTATATGTCAATAGCGCGATAGAAGTAATTGAATTTATTGTTATTATTATTTTTGTTATTATTATTATTATTATTATTATTATTATTATTATTATCATTATCATTATCATTACTATTATCATCATCATCTTCATCATCATCATCATTAATAGTTGTGCACAGTGGCTCAAAACAGTTTTCCTTTTGACTGATCTGTCTCTGAGAAAACCATTTTTGGTCCTTTCAGAATTTCCCAATTAATTTTGAACGAGCTGTTTGCATTCGAATTTTGAAGTATCTAGTGGACAGCAGCGTATTATTTGATAATCAATTTGGCATCCCTGAGGGTCATTCCAGTTCAAATGCAAAAATTAATCTTGTCAAATGGATTGCCCCTTCAACTGGCGAAAACAAATTTTAGGCTGGAGTTTTTCTTGATCTTTTGAAAACTTATTTGCAATTGGTAAATGTACAATAGACTATAAAAATACTGAGAGCAGAGCTGAACAGAGGACAACAGTATGTGGATTTCCTAAGGTTTCCATACCTGAGCCCTCTTTTTAATCTTTTATATCAACGATCTTCTTAATTGTTTTAGTAACGTTGAGTCCCTTCTACTCGCTGATGATACTAATGTTCTCTTTGACCACCCTGATTGCATCTTGTGATGGATAATATATAGATTTAGCCAGGGCTAAAAGCGAAGCTCCCGTTAATAATTTCGTAATTTAAATCAAACAATAAACTTGTAATCCACGGATAGGGCACATTCATTCGACTTTTGAGGCAAAGGCTAAGTGATTTTAGAGAAAAATAATTTGACAGTCCAAGAGTGAAACAAATTTTACATCGAGTTATTAAATAGTCTTATTTGTGCACCCAAAAATAGCAATCATGTTCGATCACATTCGAGTATTGTATTTGCATTAGCTGTTCCATCATAATGTGGCATTCACCAGTCTCTCCAACATTGCTCCGTTAGAGAGACTATGGATAAGTGATAATTGGACAACCCCGAAATATAATTTTAAGAAACACACGCGCCACGATAGTCCTTGGTGGCAGCCAATTTTCACGTTGCATTCCTCTGTCTAAAAGAGAGGCCAAAATAAAAAAATCAGGCCGGATTTTTTGTGTTCGACAAGTTTAGGTTACTGGTAAATCTTGGCGACGAATCTGGTGGCGACACACTGACATACTTTTTCTCATCACGTCTCAGGTAAACAGTACCATGAGGCCCTTCTTTTATCATACAGACCTTGGACAGAATTTGTTCTTTTTTGCCCTATTGAAACCTATAATTCTGCAGTTTTTCACAATTTTGCAAGAGAATTTGCACTCATTCAATATCCACGACGATCAAAGCGTGCGCTTCCTTTGCACAACAAATTATAGCATTGAATTATAAAACGTTTTCATAAAGAGAATTCTATAATGCCGGTACTTTTCAGTTAGAAAAATCTGGTCCTATGTGATATGCAGGGTAATAACTATGGGCTTTTAATGAAAACGATAAAAAATTCCCAACATCACTCTTCGGCCAGCCGGACGGGTTCTCACTTTTGACAGGCACCAAATTTGCAGTGCGATTACTAGAGTTACCATTTACGCTTCAACATGATAGAGAAATTGTTATGTTTAGGTTTTATTTCCCTTTATTTATTAAACTTTGTATGGTTTTGTTATGTGTAATCTTTAAAAGCGAGTGATATTTACGCGCGGCGTTTTGAGTATTTCTGCATGCGATGTTTGTGTTCGACTGGAAACAACCGGTGCAGCGATAAAAATTGCGAGAGGGACTACTAACAATCAATAAAATAAATATAATTCGGTGAAACATGTACAGAGACAATAATTTCCATTCACGAAGAGAAGTATTGAGAGTAAAGTGTCTCTGAAAATCATGAGTCAGGCTGAGCATAAGCTTATTTATGTTTTAAGCGGGCTTCCCGGTGTTTGCTCTTTTTCAAGATGAACTCGAGGCAAGAAAATCGCTCAGAGCTTTCTGTTTACAGCCAAAATCATAACTAAATAATCTTCGGAACCTTTTCTTTGAATTTGCGGTCAAAAAATGTCTAACGGCTCTTTAACTCTGATACTATTGTGGGTTAGATCATTGCTCGTGTATAAACTTAAGCGGCGTAAACCGTACGCTCGACTTCAGAAAACCGAAAAAAAAAACACATCAAAGACAATAATTGCTCAGGCTTACCAGTCTCAAGCAAGGGCAAGTGAGTAAGCTATTTTGAAAACGATGCCATCCGAAATCGGATTTCCAATGACTTTGACAAGCGGTGCATTTGTTAACAAAAAGCGCAATTAACAAACCAGCCATGAATTACAGAACAATCTTGAGAGCAGCTGTATTTCATTTTGTACACCAAGTAGAAAAAGACAGTTTAAAACATCACAAGATGACACAAAACTCTATCAGCTCCAGCTATCAGTAAGCAAGTTACCAGACGCTGCATAAATTTTCCGCATGAACTCACCTGTCAAATTTTGATCAATCAGAACATAAAAATTGGATGTAGAGCGTGATCAACGCGTGACAGTGAGAAAAGTCAAAAGCGATTGCCTTCCCTGCATGTAAAGTAAAAGCCGGTTGAATTTTCGTGTCCGAGATCAGTTCGAAATCAACATTTTAAAAGTGCGGCTCATGAAACACGACTTATTTCATATGCATTTTAAAAAAATTGAACTTGAGCCTGCGATCATTTTAAAAGTAGCAACTTGTCAGCGAATACCTTCAAAATATTACTCGAACTCAGAGGGTCGATACCTGAGCCCGCGATACGGTCAGGTGATACTGAAACAAATCAAAACATGGATGTACAATATCTGGTTGCAGGCTCCCAAACCAGCTAGAAAGTGTGAGATTAAACATTGGTATGCCTGTGGTGCCGACGGACGGAAGGTCGGGTGGTCGGTGTACGGTCACGTGATTGCCGAATTTTCTAGGCTGGATAGATTTTCTATAAAGCTATGGGGCTTCAAATTGAGCCGTGATCAAATAAAATATCAGCGCAAAACTTTAAACACTACGTGACCTCAATAGATAGAAAAATGAGCCCGCGATCCACTCAGGTGATGATGGTCAGCGTATACTGTAGTTTGACAGCTGTCAATTAACCTTCATTAGAATGGCGAATATTCGAATTAACAGACTGCAAGTGTGAGTAGGACATTTCCGTCCGGCATGTAGTGGAAAATGCCAGATCGTGTACCTGACCGAACCTGAGCCTTCGTTATTAGTTTTCTGACAGCGGTCTGCACATGTCCCATTTTGACAGCTGTCAATTGACCTTAATTTGGCTTGCCAATGTAACTTTAAACGACTGTCAGCCAACTGACAGCCTTGCCCGGCGTAGTTTCGTTTTTATGTTGAATTGGTAAGTGTGACATATTATATCAGCTTATATGTAGGGGCAAAACGACTGGTCTTTTATCTGAGCCCGCGGGACGGTCATGTGATAATTGTCAGCGGATGTCTGATTTTGACAGCTGTCAATCTAATCGTACTCATACTGATGGCTTACACAACTAATAGGCTAGTCAAGTTGTACAAGATCTATTGTGACATTTGACATCGGCTTACATGAAGTGTGTGTACGGAAGGGCGTACGCTACGTCATAACCAAATTTTCTTACCAATGGTGCTCCGCTGCGCGCGCGCTTCGCGCGCGGGAGCTCCGCTAATAATTTTTAACAGAAACTCATAAGGGGTTGAAACGTGTAACTCGCGTTCAATGCTCGTGAATATTCACTTTTACCATATTTGGAAACCTTATATTTAGTGTCAGATATCCATTTTCAACAAAATGGCTGCCGCGCGATCACCATGCAGATGTTTTAAGACAAGAGTTCAGCATTTCAAGGTTAAAAATACACGGTTAAAAGACAAAAAATGGAAAGAGAAAGTTCAAAAGAACGCTCAGCTTCCTTTTTGTGGAGGAAGGAAAGCTTTTCATCAAGAAATCGTCCTTCGAGGAATTCAACCTTGTTTTGTTCGCGACGGAGCCCATGGTCTGTTTTGAAATGCAACCAAGGCAGCGAAGTTTTGCTGAATTTTCAGGTACATTTTGCACTCTATGGCCAAGACAATAACGTTTTTGAAAAGAGAAGTTATGTCTTTTTAAATGTTTCATAGACGTCTTATAAATTTTTCTCTTCGGCGCTAAAGAAAAATTACAAAATGTGCCCCGATTTGAGATGGATTTTGTGTTGAATTTTGCCATGTGCTCAGCCGATTTCACTTGCGTGAACGGATCCACGATCCAGATAGTGTTTTCCGAATTACTTTAATTAGATTTTGAATAAAAATTTTCAAGAAACGGCTTCTCTGTCTTTTTTTTGAGTTTGTTCATTCAGAAAATTAGCTCAAAACATGAACGTGACTACAACACCCAAGCTGAGTTTAAGCTTAAATGCTTCTCACATTCATTACACGCATCACTTTTTGCGAAGATGTCAGGTTCAGTTTTTGGACACTTTTCGATACGCAGCTAATGAATTTTATTCGCAAATATTTTTTACTGTTTATTCTAGACTTTTGATAGAAAAATTATAAAAGCCTATTTGCAGTACAGTTTGCTGTGCAGAGGGTCAACGAGGCATCGTTTTTTGAAGTGACAAGTTCTGCAAGTTCAAGAAGTTGTGAGGACGTGAATGGGTTTCATAATGTTATGTTTGGCCCGGGTGGTAAGGCAATAATATCCTGCTCAGTGTTTTGGTAAGATTCCTGGTTTCAACCTTTGAAAGCTTTCTCGGCTTTCGGGAGTATTTTCCCCCGTTTGTCGGCCATTATTTAAGCGGGCGCGGGAACCTGAAGTGAAATTACGTCACGTTGTTTACAAAGTTTGATTGGTCAGTCATCTCTTCTTCTCGTTCCAAATATGGTACTTTTGAAAATGAATAATCAAGAGCATAGGACAAAGAAAACATATGAGAGTTACACGTTTCAACCCCTTAGGAGTTTCTGTTTTTAATTAATAATAATTTTATTTAACTTTAAAAATATGTACATAATTTACAAAAAATATTTCAAGTAAGAATTTAGCACCATCCAACATTAAGAATTATATAAATCATGAAAATACAATCACTGTGCCGATAACGATTTCCCAAATACATTCCTTGCGGCTGGGATGCGATCAATAACTGTTGCAGGAAGAGAATTATCCGTCTCTCATTTAAAAAAGAAACAAGTTAAAAAGAAAATAATGTCGTATTCCTAAATTCCTAATTCTTTAAAAAGTTCCTAAAAGAGATTAATTCGGGCAGGCTCTAATATTTTCGATCTGTAGATCTGAGTCAACAAAGTCTAGCTGTCGTTTTCTGGATCCTGAGCCTCTCAAGCATAGTATCCAGAGCGTGCGATGGCGAAAGATACTTTAGCTCTTATCCAGGAAATTGCGCTTCAGTAACTTTCTCCCTTCTTATTTGCGATCAGCTCCGCAAGTCTGCTTTGGTACTTAACACACTCATCCGCCATTCCACCTGTGATCGTGAAAACTAGGGGAGTGAACGTTCCCTGTTCGATCTCCATTACTCTTTCCGCATACTGCCTCTTCTTCTCGTTCTCATACTTCTTGTAGATCTGCTTAGGATGGGCGTGTCCGTTATTTCCCAGTCGTACCGTAACTTGATTGCATCTCAAAATTCCTTCTTATTCAGATTGTAATCCAGCTGTTTGAGGGGAATCACGGTCCGGCAATTTGATGATCCCTTCTCTGGAGCTAACTCAACAGCTCGCTTAGCTTTTGTCGGCAGGGAGTTGTTCACCTGCTCTAGCCTAGACAGTCGTCTTTTTGTTTTCGTGTGCTCAGTTACGGTGTTCGAATTTCTGAGGTATCTGGAGGCTGGTGCTCTTGCTAAACAATTCGCCTCACGAGCGGATTAGTTACTTTGATAGTAAATTATAATAATAATAATAATAATAATAATGATACCGTGATATAAAATATACGTGATAAATGAGAAAAGATATAGCACTTGTCATTTTCTGAACTCGTACACCGCCAAACGCTAGTTGTTTTAGTTCGAACAATGCCGCATGACGTCTCTGTATGAATGTTTTGTTTTAATCTGTTTTTAGAACATGAATGCCTCTGGATTCAGAGTCTGTGTCAAAGAGTTGTTTGGAACCAGATATGATCCCTTGTCAGTGAGTTATGCAGTGCTTACAGGTTTGCAAATACTGAAAATTTGTTCTAAACTGATAGTTATTTCGAATGATAAACATACAAAAAGTCGTATTTTCGTAGGCTCTGTGCACATGTGCACGTTTAATCTCCCGTTTTTGCGTTAACAAATACATTGAAAGTGGATTTTATACCAGGTGACGTAAAAGATGAATATCGATTTGCGATATCGATCGATAGAAATCGATAAAGAAAAACAGTTGTGTCTTCCATTAATGTCGATGATTTTCCGATAGAATTCGATGATGATATTTTAATCGATTGTTATCGATTACTATAGATTCCTATCGATTGTTATCGATTTTGTTAATCGATAAAAGAAGATAAATTATTTTTTCTGTGACTTCGATTTCTATCGATTTCCGATATCAAGCGATATTCATGGGCGGGTTAAACCGATTAATATCGAAGATATCGATTGATTTTCGATATCAATTTTTATCGATTAACTACGTCTGGAATTACGTATGTAATGTGTACGGGGTCTAACAAAATGCTGGTTTTTACCTGACGAAGCCCAGGACATAAGGATCCACGAACGCGAAAGTGATTTTAGGGTTTTTGATATTTTTACCACATATAGATATCTGTGATCCTGGCTGGAGCTACTTTAATAGCTTTTGCTATGCAGTCAGCAAGAAGTGCGGAAATTGGACCGAAGCTCTGGCTAATTGCCGGCAGGAAAACGCAAGTCTCGCCAGCGTCAACAGTAATGAGGAAAACGTATTTATACAACGTCTTCACAATGGAGCAAAGTCCTGGCTAGGATTAAATGACATTTCCAGGGAGGGAACGTTCACCTGGGCAGGAGGCCGGCCAGGAAACTTTACAGTTTGGGCCAAAAACCAACCAAATAATGTTGGAGATGAAGACTGTGTGCATACGCTTGGCATTGGACACAACTACAAGTGGAATGACGTGAAGTGCAGTGACTGTCATCAGTATACTTGCAAAAAAGGTCAATGGAAATTATATAAACAACCAAGAAGTCTTTCTATAAGTAGGTTATATAATCCGTGTGAGTTGAGTCCCGTTTAAGACTGTTGGCGGTGAGAGTGACTGCTCTTTCAACAACCTCGTGCATGCTGAAGAACTTAACCAGCACCCGCCAAAAAGTCGGTTGTTTGCCTGTTTGTAACCTGTAAGTCGTTTTTCTTCGATTTTTTCACTTCGCTCTGCTCTCCACTAACTAAACGCCTGAAGCAGGCTAGCCTGTTCCGCGCTTCACGCTCGCTCTCGCTTTCACCAAATCAGAGTAGAAAAACATCTGCGATTAGTCTAGGAACAGGTACCAATTTCTGTATCTTTGACTCGGTTATAGACCCTAGAAACATAAAAGTCCGTCTATTAAGAACTAGGCTGTGCTGTTTTTTTTTAACTTCATCTTCCTGTCTCGATATCAGATAACACACCCACCGCTACCATTCTTTCCCTGTTTTCCTGCATGATTTTAGCTCTCTTGAAGCGTTTGCAGTGGTTACCATGGTAATAAGAATAGCTTTACACCTTATTTTTTCTTGTTAACATTTTTTTTGTTTTCTTGTTTGTACTTTATCAGACCAGAATGAGTGCAGTGGTAACACTTTCTGTCATCCAAAGGCTAGTAATTGTACAAATCTCTGGGGTTCGTTTAAGTGCACCTGTAACCTTGGCTACATAGGAAATGGAGTAAACTGTATATCAAGCGCAGGAGGTACATAAGAGACATTTTAATAACATAAGAGACTAATTGCATTTTGACATGAAAACTAATAGGAGTGAAACGTTTCTGAAAAATGTTTCCCAAACCATTAATAATTCATAAAGAAAAAACAAAAAAGATCACAACCGTGACGGTGGTTTGGATATCGGATACTAATTAAAATTTTGAGAACTTTATCTTTGAATTTCTCCAAGAATTATTGCTCATTTGAGAACCTACATCCAAAACTCCATTCAGTGTTTCATTCGATATCCAGACACCTGGAAGTTGGTCTTAAAAATCTCGACTGCGCCTCGTTTTTCAACCAACTTCTCAGTGTCTGGATATCGGATGAAACACTGCGTGTCGTTTTGGATATATTACTTCTAACCTGTCCAAAGGCAGGGTTTTCAGGCGCGTATTCTTCTGTTTTCAAGTCTTGCTAGATCGCCTAGGTACATCAATTTGACAGATTTTGAGTTGTTGCCGATCTGTTATAAATCTGTGTTTGTCGTTAACATATACAAATATTTAATTTTTGTATATTTTTTATATACAAATATTTGTATATAATATGTTGTATACAAATCAAGGGATTGCGCCCAAGGAGGTGTGCGTCTCGTGGGGATTCATAGTATCAAGGCTATCCACGTTGCACCGGCTGTAACTTGGATACACAATTATTTTGACTGAATAAATTTCCTACTGTGAACTGTTTTTAAACTAACGGCTAAAGTTTCCTCTTTTACACCAAAAGACCGAAATTTTGGGCTGTGTTAAGGCTAGTCGTTAACCCCATAGAAACCCTCTTTGTAGCCACTACCGGGAGTCCGAAAATGGGCGAAGCGTGATTACGCTCTTTTACGCCCGTTTAAGTTTTCGTGCAACATTGTATTTGTCTTGCACAAAATGTGTTGGGTTATTCTGACACCGTAGTTATTGCTGCAATCGACCTTCCTCTCAGGTTTACAAGACTCTGCTATCGGTGGCAAGCGACATAAACCACTTGTTCTTGTTAATAAAAACTGGCTTAAACCTATGGCAAAAGCATTAATCGCGTGGTTCTGTCAGGCGTAACTTAAAATTTCAACTACCCAATTTTAAAGCCAAATGAAAGCTATTGTCGTTGTGTACGATGAGCTACCGAAATTCTCAACTTAAGACATGCGTCAGTATACTGAAGTTTTGATCAGTCTAAAACGTAACGCTTTATATTCCTTTTTAGAAAATCTGACTACTAAACATGCAAAATTAACGTTTTACATTTTGCAATATGGTTATCTCTTTGCTAATAGCTCATTGAACTGGAAATAAATTTAGTTTCTGTGAAATTTCAAATACTTTGTACCTCATGTAATGAAAAATGGTCTTATTTTTTCCTTAGATTTGGAAAACTCCGTCATTTTGAGATACAACAAAACTGATCACTTGACTTCGTTGAGGAACTGGCTTGCACCTGTCAAAAATGAAAGCGTCAAATCTCTCTGGAAGCGCTGTTGGCGTGCATCCGTGGACGGCTGGGCTGGAAGTACATTTCACTCCCGATGTGACGGCAAGGGTCCGACTGTGACAATAATAAGGGTCGGGAGATATATTTTTGGAGGATACACCAGTCTATCATGGGGTAAGTGAGCTTTGTAAATAGAGATATTACGATAACACTTTTTCCGTTACCAGCACAAAGGAACTTACATGTAAATGTACTGGTGAGGAATATGGTGGACCATAAGGAGTGACTGAGTCTGTTGATCCTCCAAAGAAGGCGTGCTTTTAGCCAGCAAAACAGGTTTAAATTTCACGTTGTCATCGACTATTGAATTTTTGGAAAATCAGGTAACATGGAACTTGTTGTAGCCTCAAGGCACTCTGCATCTGCTACCTTACAAAACATCATTACAAAAATTGTGTTAAAAGACTTTTAAAAAATATGTATTATTTTCATGCACTGTACTCACTATATGTCTTTTCATTGGCTAAGAGCCTACAGTTCATTTTGGAAATCAGCTTAAAATACAGACAAGACCCCCATAGTGGGGTCCATTGGGCTGCCGACTGCGCGGTCTACAGTCTACGTGAAAACGCATTATTTTTTTCCAGACGATAAAATATTCAGTTTTAAGATTTTTCTTTTGGTATTTTTAACTTAAAGGAATAAAATGTTTTGCATTTTGACCCAAAAAAGTTTAATTTCATCGGCACGCACTTTAAACAATATGAAAAGATGAAACGATCGACATCACTTATTTTACCGTGATACTAATATGAGTTGAAAATTCGCCGAGTTCGCTGTTTGTCTCACCCTTGACTAACTTTTCTTCAAGGCAGAAAATTATGCCGCTTTATAATCCCTCCAAATTTTTGTGCCAGCCAAACAATATCGAAACATTATTCACAGTCCCTGGATATTAAAAAGACTGAACGAAACGCAGTGTAAACGCACTATGTGCCCTTGTTTACTTCTGATCACATGTGCACGAACTCTCTTTTGAAGCGATTCATCTCAATGCACGATATTACATATTATACATGTAATATACCTTATAATATACCATACATTATATACTGTACCATATTATACTGTTTTTGCCCCTCACATTTACAGTGTGTTCGTTCGTCGTGTTCTAAACACTTTTAGGAAAATAAGGGTCATGTAAGTCACGTGTGTCTTTCGAGATAAATCGATTATAGGATTTTTTTAAGTTCCCATTTGGCGGTAACTTTAGTTTACATGTCCATAAAATGGTATGCATGGCAAGAAACTTTACGCGAGCTGTGAACTTTCAAAGGATTATCGAAACTCGCTAATGCTGACATCAATATATCGTCTTTGCTGAATGGGCGAACACACAGAATTGAGGAGAAGCATAACAACTGATAACGAGATCATGCGCATATTTAATGATGAAAGCTTTTAGCAAGATACAGATACAAGCAAAAGCAAAACCTCTGGCCTACATTGAAAACAACTGTAAGCTCTACTCAGTCACCAGACCTTGTCAGTAATAGCTGCTACTTCCCTCAAGTTGGTCTTTGTGAAGCGCTCGGCTGGCCGGGTGACGCGTTGAACTTGTGTGCGAAATTCTCAGAGTTCCTATTTTTGTCCGTGTCTTTTTTATCCTCAGTATCCAAAATTTAGATCTCCAAAGTGGTGAGTGTTGCAGTAAATAGAAGGAAATATTAAAATGAAAAGCCAGTCTTCCCAGCTACATGGCGAAGTTGTCACTTCCCTCGCTCATGGACGTCCATTTCTTAACATTACGATTCATCTGACATTGATCTGCAACTGAGTTGTTCGCTTCGGTACAACAGCTTACAAACAAGTCATATTTTGGTATCATATACTTTGCTCATAAATTGTGGTCATTGATTGCTCGTGTACTACATCGTTAATTCTCTCTTTGAGTTCACGGAACGGCCCGTTCCAAAACTGACGCTCACACTCATCTTTTAGCGTGGACCTACCTTGAATAGCGTGTGGTTTTGTATGGAACGTGAGCATTTTTATGATTCGGTTTTCCAGCGCCAACATCATTAAATGACTTAAATTCGAACAGTGACAAAAGTTATAAAGTGACTCCTTTCGATGGTCAGTGATATGGTCCAATCGCTTCGATCAACGCAAATAGCCTTGTTGATTCGCAACCCCTTCTGGGCTTCCTTGGGGGGCGGGAGTGGATGCGAGGTACAGAAAATATTCTTGCTAGGGAAAATCGTATGGAACAGGTGCTGTGAACATCGTTTCTTGGTACCAGACCTCGTGTCTTCGCTACCCCGGGTGATCGCTTTTCTGCAGAGACGACCGAAAACCGAAATTATAATTATAGCAAGAATGGCCGAAAGGCCATTTTAACTGGGCTGCTAAGGGGCGATTTTTTCTGAGGGGAGGGGGTGGTTGTACACACTCAAGCCACCATAAAGCCTTGTCACCGACCATTGCGTGACATATAGGGCGCTTTCCAATTACCAAAAACTTTGAGAAACCTCCATGAAGAGGTGCATCGAGTGAAGAACGTGTTCCATTTTTTTTCATGCTCTCGTCATCAAAATTTAAGATGGTAACACAGATATCACCGCGAATAGCTTGGAACTGGTCCGGAAAGTTTCGAACGGGTAACCGGACTACATTTTCAAAATCCCACTTATTCCCGGGAATTTTTCATTGCAACGCACGGAAAACGTGTGTTCCATTTACATCCCAACCGGAATTTCCTGAATTTCTTGGTAACTAGAAGGCGCCCCATCCTCGGAGACCCAGGGGAAGTTAGTCGGGTCGATAAAATGTTCGCGGCTAACTGCCCCTGGGTCTCCGAGGATGAAGGCGCCCAGAATCTCATGTGAGAGTGAAACATAAAGTCATTTGAACATTGTACCTTTTTGGAAGACTTTCGTAACAAGTAAAATGAGTACCACATTTTAAAGTCGGGGCTGTATAGTAACTTTTCACCATTATGAATAAAAACTACAATAAGTAAATCCATCGATCAATATTTTTTACGTATTCTTGCAATTCTTCTGTTCAGTTTTAGTGAGAAATTTGGCTTTTTCGTCTTCCTCAAGTAGTTTAAGGCCTGGGACTAAGGGGTTTACTTGTGGAAAATGACTTATTTTTCCATAGAAACCAAGGCGAAAAGTTGGGTAACAAAACGATATAAAATAGAAAGGAAAGGGAAAGAAAGAAGGCGAGAAAGAAAGATCGAAATAGATATTGCAAAAACCGTCCAAATTTTTTCTTAAGCGCATGCGCCAAAACCAAAAATAAAACTTAACTCGCGGGAAAATATGCAAAGGGTTAAAGGGGCGCTAATTCGAGGGAGGCGGAGGGGGTTTATTTGAAGGGGGGCGCTTATTCAAGCAGTATCGGTTACTAAAGGAGGTAAAGCATTCCATGTTCTTGTTAGAGTATAGTGAACTGTATGAAGTTCATATAAAATGTATAGCCTCGTAGCACTACGACAAATGATCGAACAGAGAGAGAATCGGATTAATTCTAAAGTAAAAATTTAAGTGCTGCAAATAACCCTTAGACCCTACTGAGCGATAGACTCAGCAAAGGGAATTAGGGGACCATACGGGGCAGGCAAGGAAAGGAATCTTTTAAAATCGGTGGGATTCGAACCCACGACCTCTGGACTAGATGAGGCCTGAGGAAGCAAGTCGTCGGTAATTAAGGTGGTGGATCGCGGCGAGGAAAGAGTGTGCGGGGAACATAGAGTGTTGTCCCGCATAGCAATAGTAACAAATGATTAAGATAAAACGACTAGGTTTATCTGGGTATAATTGACACTTAAGTGACGCACTTCCGTTTGATTGTGTAACATTCACTAACCCGCCGCGCCACGGGTCAATCAGTCTCGGTTCGCCTCGCGCTCTACGCCAGCTCGATCTAGTTCTTGATTCCCTTCCCACCCACCCATTTATTTTCTGTCTTAAATGGACTCTGACCCGGATAAAACCTTTATTCTTTCGGGCATCGCGCATGGTTTTCATCTTGTCAACGATCTTTCTATTGTTTCGCCAGCGGATTGTCACAATTATAGGAGCGCCGAAAATCCTGCCGTAAAACCTGCCCTCGATAAACTCTTTCAGGACGAACTCTGTTTCCATCGCATCGAGGAAGTTTTCCACAAACCACTTCGTGTTAACGCTATCGGGAGTGTTACAAAGAAGGACACTGGCGAGCCTCGACCTATCACCGACATGAGCCGCCCTCTTAATAACTCTGTCAATGACTATATATCCTGTGAATCTTATCGCTACAAATCTATTGATGATGCCATTGCTCTCATGCGCCCAGACTGCTTCTTCGCCACAGTTGACATTAAATCTGCCTATCGATGGGTTCCCGTTTATCCCCCTCATCGCACACTTCAAGGATTCCGCTGGGCTTTTAATGGTCCTTACAAATTCTTTACCGACAATTTTCTTTGTTTTGGTCTCAAAAATGTGCCAAGTATTTTTCACCGGATTTCCTGTGCGCTCACGCGTATGATGGCTCGAAGAGGCTTCAGTAACATTGTTAATTATTTGGACGATTTTCTCATTGTTGCTTCTTCACGCGAAGAGTGCCTTCGTGCACAACTAACTCTTATTCATCTTCTCCACTCCCTCGGCTTTCAAGTCAATTGGTCTAAACTCTCGGGCCCCTCACAACGTGTCAAATTCCTCGGAATTATTCTCGATTCAATTGTTATGCAGGCCTTTGTCCCCGAGGACAAGATTTCAGCCTTAGAAGATCAACTTACTTTCCTCATTTCTCATCGCAAAGCTTCCAAGCGGGACTTACAGCGAGTCGCCGGGCTCATGAACTTTCTAGCTAAAGTCGTTAAAGGGGGCGCACCTTTTTGCGTCGCGTTCTTGACTTTATTATTCGCTTGAAACGCCCCTTTTATAAAGCTCGTATTACTTCCGAACTCCGAAAGGACTTCTGTTGGTGGCTAAACTTTTGTCGTGTGTTTAACGGCAAGGCTATTAACATTTACTACTCGCCTAATGTTGAACATGCTTACACCGATGCGTCCCTTTCGGGTTTTGGTGCTCACTGGCGATCTCATTGGCTTGCTGGCGTCTGGTCCTCCGACAACTCGGTGCTCCCGAGTCTTCGCATGTCCGGCAATTGGGTTCACACGACTGGTCATGAAATTCCGTTCCCCCTCAAAACGAACATAAACTACCTTGAACTGTACGCGGCGTTATAAGCAATCCGTAGGTGGTCTCCGCATTGGGCGAACTGTCACGTTTGTTTACACACAGATAATACACAGGCCATGGCTTTCCTGAATAAGGGTTCGTGCAAAAACCCTACTGCTATGGACTGGTTACGTGAAATATTCTGGTTATCAGCCATCCACAACTTTCGCCTGACTTCTCGCCATATTACTGGCCTCGCAAACGTCTTTGCCGACTGCTTATCTCGTGTTACAGAAATCTATAACCCCTGAATACCGCCTTTGCTATAAGTGGTCTAATTGGACCCCTTCTCCTTCTCTCCTAGATGTTGGCGATTCTCTCGACGACGCGGTTGCCTTGGCTATTTCCAACGCTTATGCCTCCTCCACTCTCGCCACTCGCAAGTCTCAAGCCCTGAAATACCTCCGATTTTGCCGCCTGCTTCAGACGTCCCCATTCCCTATTTCGGTTAGGAACCTTTGTCGCTACTGTGTGTACCTGAGCCGCACACTAAAATATTCGTCCATCGCTAACTATTTGGATGGTCTCCGCTGGCTCCACGTCATGTTTGACTACCCACCTCCTCCTCTCTCCCATTGTCGCGTGCAACTTACGCTACGAGGCCTGAAACGTCTTCTCTCCGCGTCGGTTAAACGCAAGCTCCCGATCACACCGACTATTCTCTTGGCTCTTCGTGATGTCATGGACCTCTCCCTGCCACTTCACCTCGCTCTCTGGGCGGCTTTCCTTCTTGGTTTCTTCAGCTTCTTTCGCAAGTCAAATATCATCTCTCCAAGTCACTCGCAGTTTTCACCGAACAAGCACCTTTCACGCTCCGACTTTTACTTCACCTCGTGGGGCCTTATCGTTTCTGTCAAATGGTCTAAAGTCAACCAATTTCGCGAGCGGACGCTCCTCATTCCCTTAGTTTCCATACCGTCTCATGCCTTATGTCCAGTTCAGGCTCTCCGCAAGTTCTTCCTCCAGTCCTGCTTTTGTTATCCCCACGGCGCATGGTCTTCGCTCCCTCTCTTACAGCTCGTTCACCAAACACCTAAAAGATCTCCTTGGCCTTGCAGGTTTCACTCCCGACGATTATTCAGGACATTCATTTCGCCTTGGCGGAGCCACCTATGCAAGCTCCCTCGGTATCTCTCACGAATTAATTCAACTGCAAGGCGACTGAGCCTCTACTGCTTACCTCGAGTACCTTGCGAGACCACTCCGACAGCGCTACACCTTGGCCGCGCAAGTTGCTACTCAAATTGCCTCCTCTCCGTCCTTCCCCGATCCTGACGGCCTTCCTTTATAACGAAACTTATACCAAACACTGTGTTTGCATGGTGTTGGCGTGATCCTCTTTTGGCGGGTTTCGAAATTAATCATCACCTGTCAATAAATAAACTGCCAGACTGTCACGCCAACACTGCTTGATGTTTGATTTGTCTATTATGATTAAGATAAAACGACTAGGTTTATCTGGGTATAATTGACACTTAAGTGACGCGCCGCCGTTTGATTGTGTAACATTCACTAACCCGCCGCGCCACGGGTCAATCAGTCTCGGTTCGCCTCGCCCTCTACGCCAGCTCGATCTAGTTCTTGATTCCCTTCCCACCCACCCATTTATTTTCTGTCCTATTTTTGTTTTTATTGTATATTGCATCATTATAGCTTTTCACCTTCGGCAGAGGTTTGTGATTATATTTGTGATTGCATGCGGGTTTCGAAATTAATCATCACCTGTCAATAAATATACTGCCTGACTGTCACGCCAACACTGCTTGATGTTTGGTTTGTCTATTATGATGGAATAAAGACCCTCTTTCTTCGCCGCAGTAACTGTCTACGAGCCTTTTTCTGGTATATCTGCTTACCTTAAAAAAGGAACATTATGGGTGTGTTCCTTTCGGTGAATCCAAAAACGGATTTTAGATCTAATAAAGGATTTCGCGTTCCTTTCGGCAAATCCAAATCCGGATTTTTGATCTGGTGAATCCTTTTTGAAAAAGGATTCATTGGATTTGAAATCCGAAGAATCCAAATCCAGATTAACGGATTAGTGATCCACGCTGTTCCATTCACAGTGGATCCGAAATTAGTCAGATGATCCAGCGGTATTTCCAGTTGAAGTATTCCCATAGAGGCCGTAGAGTTTGCTCGTTGCTGTCAATTGCCGCAAAACATCTGAAAACATTAGAAGATTGTTCCTGGTACATTAAAATATCCATAAACTGACCATTTGTCTCTAAAGATTGCTTGAAATCAGAAATAAGTAAAAGTAACAAATGAACTGCTATCTAACTACAAACTCGCTTGTAGACGCGACGGGCACTCGATCGCGTTACATAAAAAAATCGGAGCTATGGAACTGGATCAAACTGGCCGACATTCTTTAGATAATTTTCAATTTTAATGCGCTTCTTTCTTTGTCTGTTTTATATGTTCCATCGTCGCTATTCGAACTGCCGACCACTAAATTCTGCACGGTATAATCGCATAATTTGTCAAACAGTAGAAAACACGTCATTTTTCGAGAGGCTGTCGTGTATATTGCACGCGTTGGCGAAAGGTTACCAAGGTTACAAATCCAATTTCGGATTTCACGTTCCTTTCGACCGCGAAATCTGGCAAATCTAGGATCAAAAATCCGTTTTTGGATTCGCCGAAAGGAACACACCCTATATGGATCGGATGGATGGCTTTGCTGTGAGAACTACGACAATGTTGCTACTAGCACTTACTTCTTTTCTTTTCTTTCTCAGCCCAAGGTGACTATGCCACTTCTCGATACGATTCAAAAGCGTTTCTGTTTTCACTGGTGAACAAGCCAGGATGGGCACCTGTCAAATTGCCTCAAAAAGAGTTTTCATACGGAGCATCCATACGCGTTGACAAATACAATGGGCCTATATTCGGAGGTGGATATGACATTTACATTTCCAACAACGCGTCGTCCAATAACAATTCTTACAGCGGGCTTGGCTATACTTACAGCCCACCGAGCGGATACAGCTACTACAGCACCTTCGCACGAACATTCCTGGCAGGAACTTACAAGTTCACACCAGACGAAATAGAAGCTTTTTACGAAACAACCAAAATGCAGTGAGCTGCATCAGCTTTGACATTTCGCTGGCGGGGCTTGTTTTCCTGTATTGCGCATAACTAAAATTAAAAATTCATAACTAAATTAATCGCAATTATATCCTGTCCTTGCTAAAGAGGCTATCTTCAACTATAAGGCAATTGGTTGCTGCCACGAAATAAAGCTGGAAAACTGATAGCTGAATAAAAGTACCCCATGATATATTATGTAGAATAATATGATTATTCGTTATGTCACGGCTCGGCAAGGTTTAGTGTAAAATCCGTTTTTTTTTTCTTTTTTTTTGTGAGCGCTTAAGGAGATGCGTTCTTAATAATCTAAGACGTCTCTGATTAAGCTCTCTTATAGTTATGTTACTTTTTCTCTTAAGGGAAAAAAGGAAGAATTTAAGAAATAAAAACCATTTTTTGAAGTTTTTTTTTTCAATCATCTTTTGCACGCCACCTAGATTCAAACCTTAACTCCTGATACAATATAGGCGTTATACGTTTAGCAAGGGAGTTCAGTTCCCAAATTTAAGAGCTAATACATAATTTCATGGTCACTTTTTTTTCTATCAGGCGCTTTGGTACTGTCTATTTCAATAAGTTGGACGAATCTGCACTAGGATTACCATTAACGTAACATGAAAACCAACGGTTAGAAGAGTTTCAAACACAAACAAGAGAGGCAGGATTGCCTAAAAAAGAAAGGTTTTCTGAGATCTGACCACCTATTGCACTGATTATGCACAGACTAACAAAAAGGTTTTGCATGTTTGAGACGATGTGCTACTTAGCTAGGACACACTTGCTGCTTTTGTAATGAATTTCGGGACACAGCTTTTTTAAGTAAACCTTTTGGCATGTTTGAGACGTTGCGCCAAATAGCTATAACAAACTTGCTTTTAATTTTGGTTTTAGTAAAAAGGGCATTATGAACAGACAAACAACAACAGCAACAACCAAAGGTGTAAGGTTACATGATAGCCACTAAGCAATACCTTTATCATTGTTATTAATTAGTAACTGCGCTTTCTCGAAAAAGAAATCAAATAAGTGTTAAATGTAGTTTTGAGGCACTAAGGTCTGCTTTATGTTGACTTGTATGATTTTGTAGACATATGGTATAAGAAAATTTAATGTTTTTTTCAGTCTCTTGTGTTACCATCTAAGAAAAAGCTTTCATTGTATTTCAGTAATAAAGTAACATTGGTAAACGAGCGGGTTCTTTATTTGACATTATTGCCATTAAATTCACAAAATCGCTTTTATCGTAACGACGTAATGAACCTTCGATCTAATCTCTCAGAATGGACGCAAACGTATTAAGCGTCTTGTTAACAATTATTCCTTGATTCCTCGAGCCCGAGTGGGCTCTGAGTCAATAGCCCATGAGGCCGAAGGCCGAATAGGCTATTGACTCAGAGGACATGAAGGCAAGACGAATAATTGTTTTAGTAAAATTCAACTAGTTGGTCAAAAATATCGAGAATAAAAAAAATTTAGCTACAATTAAAGCTAGACTTTAATCCTTTTTTGCCGCCAAAAAGCCCGCGCTTTTTGCTACTAGTGGGCTATTTCATATAGCCTAGTAGTAGCTCCACCAATCAGAACGCAGCATTAACAATAGACCACTAGCTGGATTTTACTAATTTGATTTATTTATGGATCTAATTCTTTCTATGTTTTAAAAAAAATGGAAAAAAACCAAGGCCTCGTTTCCGGCGTTTTCCCTTCTCTATTTGAACATGGATAAAGCCCGGCTTGAGAATTCAACTCCAGGAAAAGTCGCCTACATTAATTTGACAAATCGAGCGATTCCAAATAGACGCGATAAAGTTCTCTGAAGTTTGAAAGGGTGTAAATTCGTTTTTTTAGTGATGTTTTCACTGCCGTCGCCGTCGTCGTTGCTTAAGGTCCCTAATAAGTAGACAAGACCACATTCCAAGCGTGCCTATCTCCCGGGCATTTGTCATCTTGTCGGCCCGGGGGTGGGGCATTTGTCATCTTGTCGGCCCGGGGGTGGGGCATTTGTCAATTCTTGTTAATATCGTTCCTTTTTCAATATTTCATTTAAAAATATTGAAGATATTTCTTTAAGGAATGTTTTTTTAACACATATGCTTTAAATGTGCTTTTCGCTCCATCACCACCCTACCGCACAGTATTTTTGCATCAGTCTAAGAAATTGCTTCCCGCCATATTAATCGCCCGTTCACGGCGTAAAGGCCTAGAAAAACTCTGCGAGATATTTGAACGGTCAGAACCAATATAAACAGAGATTCCAACCCTTCCGTTTTGGCAAGAAACCTCCCGTTTTCGGCGAATATTTCCAGCCTCCCGTTTTCGCTTAATATTCTCTCGTTTTATGAAACTAGCCAAAGAAAGATAATGTTTTCTTTGTTTAACCAATCTTTTTTAGCACGATAGTTTGCCTTTTTTCTGTAGTTTCTCAGCCATTTTTACCCTTTTGGTATGCAAGCATGAGCCTGCGATAACTTTGGGCTCGATAATGTCGATAATGCAGTGATGTGATAGGAACCAATAGGCCTCAGCTTCCACTGCCTGTTAAAAACTCCACTATTTTCCATTGACTGTGATCTCAAAATGCAGGAAATAGCATCTTAGAGTCACATATCTTAAAATTCAGTTCCCGGGGTAGCATGTCCCTGGACCCCCTAGTGGTTCGCACCTTCGGCGCTCGTGGGCGCAGCTATATACCGCTTCACAAACCTCCCTTAATTCAGTTGACAGGGTTGGAATCTCTGTTAACTTTCTTGCAGTTTTGTGTGATCATGCGACGATTAATACGTGGACTGAATGGTTCCATCGTGATACGAAATTACTGTTTTTAGCTCCTCCGTTATTTTTATATCATTGACTGTTTTAAATACCTTTGAAAATAAGAAAGGTATTATTAAAATTCTAGTTTATAAATCTGTCATTGATATTATTCAGATCGATGTGATCTTTTTTGCATTATAACCAGTGTTTAGATTCAGATTTTCACAGATTCCCATAAATATGGCATTTGCAGCTTATTTGCAGGAAAATGAAATTTTGGTATTGTCCAGGGGTGGGCATTTGCACACTGCGTGGGTGTTTTAAAGGAACCGCCCAGTCCCACTGTAGGGGTTCTGGTAGGCTGGTAATTTCATTAAAACGTAGAAAGAAAATCAACCTCGTTTCCAGGCTTTTTCCCTCAGAAATTGCGTGAGACTCGCTCCTCCCGGATACTGCGTGCGGATAAAGCACTGGTAATGAGGTTGGCAGAAAATTTCGTAATGACGGACGACTAACGAAGAGAGCATTATCAGCAGTCATAATCGGGGTAGGAGACTTTAAGTGCAGGGTCCACGCGGTTCCATCGAAATAGCCAAATGTGCTAATTTTAGAACAAACTGCGCCACCCTCAACGTCACAAACTCGCGCGGGAACCCTGCAAATTTGCGCGGCTCTCGGGTGGAATTTCGGGAGATGGGTAATCTTCTTCCCATTTTTCTTTTTTTTCTTTTGATTGTTCTCTTAATTTTCCAAGTGCTTAATATCTCCATATACAGTGCATGCACAGTGGAAGAATAACCAAGAGCCACCTAATGTTATATAAAAATTACTAGAAATGCATTTATCGCAAAAACCTCGCGAATCTGTAATGGGCCAGCAGTAAGAATAAAGGTAAACAAGCCAAATGGAGAAACTATGACTTAAAAAAACAAAAACAAAAACAAAACAAGAGTCGAACCTGGACCATCTGCACCAGGCTACCAAGGATAACGTTAAGTGGGAAAATTATTATATTTAATGTATTTTCATGTGAAATTCTGCCGGTAGACGCTTTTTGAAGCTGGTGAAGCATTGAAAAATATATATTTGAGGAAAATGAGACACAATTATTTGCTGTTGTTGTTAACGTTTCGCCCTCCTTTTCCCCAAGTTTTTTTTCTTTTTTCCTCCCAACGGGTTATTCATCAACATCTCTTCGTAACTGGATTTGTCAAAATTAAGGAAGGTGCCCACTAATGGGAAGTACTAATTCCCAGATAATGACTATGTGGGACAAGTAGATCATATCAGCGGCTGTTGAAATCCAAAAAGAAAACTGGGGGTAACCACACATTTTTCAGAGATAACTGCGCTTCAATATTGGGAAAACGCTGAGTAAGCATTTTTTAGAAAAATGATAAAAAGTTGTTTTTTCCGCAAATTTCAGAGTGTACACGTAAACTGGCACAAATGCAATGATAATTGCAACAAGGTTTTAAAATGAGCAATAAATGATAACATAACAACTGCTCTTTATATGTCTCTTTTTGAAATGTCAGCACAACTGGGAAGTTATCAGCAGTTACCCCTCTCCACGCGTTTGCCTTAAAAATAATGTAAACGACATTTTCCCCGAACCAAAAATTGATCGTTTGCTGAGTAGGCTTATTACATTCATATGGTAAGATAAAAACTAGGGTTTACCTCGCGTTTTTAGAAGTTAAATTGGTTGGTTTCGACCTTAACTTAACCGCTTTGGGGGTCATTTACAATTTTTCCCATCCCCTCCCTGGTCAGTTTCACTATTGCTTTACTCAACGCGAAGTACTCTGGGACATCCACAATGGCTGACAGTCAGAGAACAACAACCCAAGGAAGAAAACAAAAACGGAAAGTGAAGCAAAACATTTCGTGGACTATACGGAAAACAAATTGTACTATTTCATTCAACTGGAGCTTCTCCGTCTCATAAATTTAACAAAAATGTTTGGAGAAGAGCAATCTCCAAGGTATTAAAGATTACTTCCAGCGCACATAGAGTAGTATGGCGAGCTCAAGATCCAAGGCTGGCGCTGTAAACAAACTACTGTACTGTAGTGGAAAATAGTCAACAGGGACTCTTAGACTAACAGGTACTCCTTCAATCGTTTGCTTACCTGTACACGTCCTCAAGATTTTTTTAACTGTAGATGTAATATGGATTGTAAACCTTCTATCTTTTTTCAAGAGAGGATAAAGGGGACAGAGAAGGCATCCCCC